GAATGTCTCCGCTCCCAGAATCGAACTAGGGACCTTTCGATGGCATTGAATTCCATTACAGTCGAACGTGATAAACCAACTACACCAAGCGGAGAATTGAGAAGCTGAGCTTCTCGCTTGGATGAAAATCGAATTTGTTTGCGCAGTATATATTTTGCAAGACAAACGTAGCTGACCGCGTCCATATCACATTGGTCAATGATAATGATAATCAGGCAATGAGGCAGTTGAGGTCTGATTTAATGTCGAGCATATCCACCTTGTACCGTAAGCGCTCGTTGCAATCAAAACCCCTCACCCCACCTCTTCCTAGCCAAATCTTTCAGCATATCCACCGTCTGCTCCTCTTTGGCCCTATGCACCGCCAACCGTTCTTCCCTTTCCGCCGCTCTCGCGCGCAGCACTTCCTCCTTGCGAATCTCGCGTTCATTCTTGCGGCGCTCTTCTTCCTTCCGCCTCGCCTTGAACCCCTCAACGCCATCATCACCCATCAGCTCGTTTTCGCCGACCTCAGCGTCCCCCGCCTCCTTGGCATTGCGAAATTCGTTCAGCGCCGACGTCTTCTCTCGCTTCTTCTCCAACTGCCGCTCCCGGCTGCCAGGGTCTGCGCGCGGCGCTATCTCCTCCAGTCGTTCTTTTTGCAGTGCTCTATCTGCGCGCCGTGCGTATCGCAGGTCGTCGCGCGATGCGAGTGCGTCTTCTTCCTCGTGCTCTGTATGCGGGCTGTGTTAGTTAATCTATGCCGGCCGCGGTTGCGTAATGTATGTACGTACCCCTGCGTAACGCAAGATCTTCAATGCGTGGGATCGCGGGGCCTGAGCGCCGCGCATCTACAAACCCGATTTCGCTAGGCAACGCCGGCGCAAACTCGTCCTCGCTATCGTCGTCGTCTTCGGCGCGGTTGCGTCGCGGTTTGGTTCCGCGCGCATCTGCACCCGCATTGTAGTCTGGTGAGCTCTTCCGCTGTTGCGCGGGCGAGCGAGGTGCTGCTGCACTATCCTCTCCTTCCCCAAAAGAATCAGCCGCTTTTTGCAGCGTCGCAGGATCGTACCAGCCCTCGGCCAGTTCTCCACGGTTCCTCACGCGCGTTAGTCGTGTCCTAATTGTTCAAGCTGAAGTGGCAAGGCGAATACTCACCACTTCCCCACAAAGCTCTTCCACCGCCCTCTTGCCTCAGTATCGTCCATGTCTTCCAAGATCAGCTGCTTCTGAATGTCCAGGTATAGCGAGAACATGGGCTTGAAGGCATCGTAATCGCGCTTCGAGATCTGGCGCGCATTGAATGGAAGACTGGCAGGTGTAGCGCTCTTGTGCTTCGACCGGCTGGACTCGTGATGCCGATGAGAGTGGTGGCGGCGCGGCGAGCGCGAGCGATGTTTGTGACGTCGGTCGTGGGAGGGGCGTGGTGAGCGAGAGCGGGAGCGCGTACGGCGGCGCGCATCCCTGTCGTGAGAGCGGCGATGGTCGCGCTCATGAGATGGCATAGTTGCGTTGTGATTGAATGTCTGTCGATGGAAAGCTTGGGCTTGGTTGAGAGCTCTCGCGCCATGTTACCCCGAAGGCAACACAGCTTGGCCCGGATTTAGGGAATTAGATGCGCACAGACGCTACCCGGAAGGCAGAACATCCCATGTTACAGGATTTGGTCCCTTCTACACACGCACCCCACGCCAAGCTGCTGCGACATAAATTGGCCTTGGAAGAACTGAGCACGCAGTGTAAGCTCGTTTAAGACGTATATGGAACTTTCTCCGACGGAAGGCCGTACAGCAGCATTCTGTCACATTAAACACCTTGCCTCTCTGCATGGCGAACGGGAACTTCGAATGTGACAACCACAACGCTCCTACGCCATGATCCCACGTCCAACTTCTTGCAGGGAGCGACGACAGGGGTGCAAGGCGTCTTTGGAACGCTTTGTAATTGGCCTGCATCCCACGTCTGCCGCTCTCTTCCTTGCTTTAGCTGTCCCCGGGATTTTGCTGCCCCTGACAAGCTAGAAGCTGATTGTTGAAACACGATGTAGACGGTATGAAATTAGGGAAAAGCTCATCAAAAATCGACACGTACCAGCAGGAGACACCAACGGCCGCGTGTTTCCCACGAAAGCCCCAGGTTCGCTGCTCTTTCCGGTGACATCCGGTGAAAGGCCATGTACACTATCCAGCTCCTCCACCATGAGCGTCCCCGAGCTCTTCAATCAAACACCGACATTGATCAACCAGAACCGTATCCGGCGGAAGGTGCATAAGGTGGGTTAAGCAAACCCCCACGGCTACCAAGGAAACAAGGCAGCCTCGGCGAGGCCGTAGAGGCATTGTCGATTCCCACGCCAAACTGCGATCCTTCATCGAACTAAGGCCGGGCCTGGTCCTCGCCAAGGGGAGGCAATAATGGTCGGGTACGCAAAAGGAAAGATAGGTGCCCAAGTTGAAGAGAGACCCGAGCTCCCAGTTATACGCCGCCTTGTCCGTAGAAGCTAACAGGGGGCTGCGAGGCGGCCAATGCTGCGTTCCTGCCCTACCAGTCGACGTTCGCCAAGACGCGCGCACGCAGCGCAAAGTCGAACCTTCATGATGATAGCTGTGATGGTGAGTGGTGTGACACGCGGTATAGGGATGGACGGGAGACAGCAGACATGGCGAGATATGATCACCGATCTGCTTACCTATGGCACACCAGACCTCGAGGCCGTCGAGCAGCAAGCCGGTCGGATTAAGATCGGCTATTGAATGCCACTCTCGGAGTTCACGAACGCATGAAGCGGGAGGTTATCGGAGGTACCTCCCGCCCAACCAATCCGGCCCCCACGCCAGTCACCTGCAGCTCGCAAGTCGTTTGCTCGCACTCCGCCCACCGAGACATGACGTCTGCGGGAGCGGGAAGGCGAGGGCGAGTCTGTGCTACGGCACGGTGGTTTATATATCGTACCGTCTCGGATTAGCATCTGGGGGGGTAAGGCCCACTCTGCGCAGAGCTCGCTGTGTGCGGCCCATCGTCCCGGACTTCCGCCTCCGCCCCTTGACCTTTTTGTTCCCGATCACCCCACCTGCCGATAGCCGTAGCTGGGGATGCGGGATCCTCGCCATGGACAGGCGTGTAGCGACGCAGGGACGAGAGAAGCTCGAGACGAGCTTTTGGGGCATTAGCCGCGATGGGCGCTGGGGCGGGCCTGACTCGCGTGCAGCGCTATTCCCGTGAAGAAAGGCGAGGCGGCGGGCAGGCAGAGAGAGAGAACAGATGGGCATCGGGGAGTGAGGGGGGGG